TGGCTCCAACTTAATATTTTTGTCATTTGCAACAGCTGACTTTGGTGTTGGGCATGAAGTACAGCTAATAAATGTAAAGAAGGCGTAAGTATATTAGGAAAATAGGCTTTCACAAATAGCACTGGCTATCCAACTGTTTCCTGACTTTCGAGCAGCACTCTATCCGCGAAGGTATTCTTTCGGTGCGGGTCCTACATCATTCAATCTCTTACTTATCGTAACGTCCAACATACTAGCATGAAGTTTACGCAGGAGGAATGATATGAAATCGGCCCTTGCCTTTCCTTTAAAGGTATGTTTTACATTTTAAGATAGTGGAGTGAGCGTGAAATATGATGAAACAAGCTCATTCATAGCTATTGGTATAATTTCATGTAGAAAAGACTGCTCTGGACAACACAACTTCTCTGGCTAGTACATAGGCTCTCCGATACACCATTGCTTCCTCACATCATCATTTACATTGTACAACATTGCCTGAGAGCCAATTCACGGCCGTTGTATCTGGAAATCGTGCTCACGAACGCCAGATGAACGACTCGACCATTATATTTTTCTCGGCCTTGGCCGCCGCATGGCTTATAAAATGATAGAATTTGAATGATGTCAACTTGACATTATGAATGCCAGGTTGACCTTGAAATGCTCTTCCCGATATTCTCTCCCGATGTTCGTGCACGCATAGCTCGGAAACTAGAGCGGTTTAGGTTTTAACGAGGGCAGGGCTGTAAGACGCACCGCAAGGTCTTCAAGACAGCTATTTCATGTCAAAACCCATATAAATGTGGAACGCTCCCTTTAATGGGCGAGTTGAAAAGTTATAAGGGAAAGTTGAAATCTTTACTTGTTGAAAGCCTACATTCACCGGCCTCGGATTGAGCTCTGGTCATAAATTCCTGACGTTTTTGATGGTTTAGCGCTATTTACAGGGCTTTCCCTTGAAGTTCCAGCTACATTACGTTCGTTGGCCTTAATCTCTAAACGTGGAAGACATTGTGTGTGTTTGGTCGGTTTAGGGCAAGTTGTCTTTCAGTTTTGGTAAAACTGTACTGGTATTGGCAGAATTCTAATTCTACTTATTTGGGGAAGTTTATTTTGGTAAAAATTGGGAATAGGAGCCCCGGAGTGAAAATCTGCGCGACGAATATACTTTCCAATCTGTTATGGGTGTTCATGTGTCTGCCCAGCCGGTGAAGGCCTCCAGTAGGTACCTTGGAATAAGTGTATTTGTCCATTAAGACTCAACTGTCGTTAGATACAAGTTTCAGTTCCTTACCAAATGGCCCGAGCTTTGATGAGATGTGATTTGTTTCATTGTTCTGAAGATGATAAATGCTTTAAGCTACGTCAAGTATTTGCGCAGCAAACAACTGCAATTTAATAGCTCGGGACGCGCATTCCAATGCTTCACCTTGGAGATTCAGCGGCGTCGCACCAAGCACTCAAACTTACGCACGTGTGATGCGCCCTCTACTAGCGTAAGGTCCTTCTGAGCACGTGGGAAGAGGCGGCGTGGAGAGCCCAAGAGTGATCGTGAGTGAACAGGGCCCTATAAGGTCCTTCTGAGCACGTGGGAAGAGGCGGTGTGGAGAGCCCAAGAGCGATCGTGAGTGTGCAGGGCCCTAGAATGATCGGGAGTGTGGGTAGCACAGGAATGATCGGAAGTGTGCAGGAATCGGGAGTGATCGGGGGTGTGGAGGGCCTAGGAGTGATCAGGAGTGGCCCGGTCACACTTCGACAACAGCGTAGGGCTCTCAAGTTATAGGCGAAGAACTGGGCATCAAAATATTGTGATGCCAAGACCAGTTTTGAGGTAGACTCCTATAAGTGTCACCATTTCAGGATTCTCGGCGAGAAGGGGTACCATGGCGCCCACGAGCCCCATCCACTTTCCCCCATTCCTTCGCTTATGCTCCGAGCGATCGGGAAACACCCATAGCCAGCGTTAAGAGCTTATTTAGTGTGTAAGCGTGTGAAGGTCTCAGGAAATGGAGAGGGGACGATGCCAATTTGGATGTCAATTCGTATGTGCATTGCCATAGGTTTAATGTTTCACCTACTCAAAACGTTCGCGAGTTGGCATGCTCCTATTCTCACACCCGTGCATGAGGGATCTAGTAGCGCCCAGACGACGCCGCACACATGTAGATCCTGCCAACAGCTCAGCGCCTTCCGCGATAATGGGAAGAACACGCGGAGAGGCCCTGAGCGTTTAAAAGTACGTCTCCCCCCCCCCCCCCCCAACAGCATGAAACTCCTGAGCAGTGCGTACATGCGCGCTGCCAGGGCCTCGTCAAGGGGCAGGGACACAGGGTTGACTAAGGCCCCCTGATAGCAAAAAGAAGGTTCTGCGCTGCTGCCAGGATCTACATGTATGCCACGTCGCCTGGGCACTAGATCCCTCAATCACGGGTATGAAAACCAGGGCATGCCCACCCCAAACGTTTTGAATAAGTTGAACATTAAACTTACGGCAATGTACATAACGAATTGACGCCCAAATTGGTGTTGTCCCCTCTCCGTTTTCTGAGACCTTCTTACGCTTACACACTACATTAGCCCTTAACGTTGTCCATGGGTTCTTCCCGATCTCTCGGATCTAAGCGTAAGAAAAGTGGGGGTGGGAGTGGGTGGGGTGGGGCTCATGGGGGCCATGGTAACCCTACTCTCCGAGAATCTTGATGAATTTTGAATGGCAGCACTTAAATGGGGTCGACTCCAAAACTGGTCTTGGCATCCCCACATTCTGACACCCACTTCTTCGCCTATAGCTTGAGAGCCGTGTTTGTCGAAGTGTGCCCGGGCCACTCCCCATCATTCGTGGGCTCTCCGGACTTCGATCCTTCCCATGTGTTCAGAGGGACCTTGTGGTTGTAGACGGCATATCACACATGCGTAACTTAACTTAGCGCCGACACTGTGGGTCCCTGACCGACACAGGAGCCCCAAACCATTGTTTCAAGAACCAGATAAATACAGTCATGACCCCGAGCCTTGCTCCTGCTCAGGAAATAGGCCCCCAGCTGTTTCCGACTGACATGGAGCCATCTGTTAGGTGTTTGTAGTCCCTGGCCATTTTCGATACCCACATTGTATTAGGAGGTCCTCGAAAGGGGCAAGGGGTCTCTGACTGGTATTTCAGGTCACGACCCTACGGGTCGCGATTCCTTGCGTGACATACAGCAAGTCCTTCAGGCCCTTCCGCCGTCCAACCAGACCTTTGATCGTCGGTTCCGGCGGGTCGCCCGGGCCACTCTGGGCCTCACTGAACACTGCCCCTGGTCGGCTCGAGGCCCCTTGCCAGCACGAGGGCTCATACCGACTCGGGACCGCCGGCGCGGCACTGGCAATGTCTGACCGGTATATTAGTCCACATGAACTTAGGAAGTCCGCGACCGGCGCAAAGGGCCCTTTGGCTGTCATCTGAGGGCTTGTCCACGCAGGTCGGGGCCCCTGAAAGACTCCGACCAGCCATTTATGCCTTTAGGCCCTCCAATCGAGCCCTTGAATTTGACCCGGTGGGCCCTCCAGGCTCGTCCGGCATCCTCGAACATTGCTCCTGGCCGACTCGGGGCCCCTTAGCAACACAGAGGCCCCGCTAGGCACTGTGGGGCCTTGACAGACGCAGGGACCCCGTCCAATGTAAATCGCTGGTCACGGCTTCGTCCCTGCTTGGTAAATGAGCCCTCAAACCCATGCCGCCACGGAGCGGACTGTGCGTTACCGGGGGTATCTGACCAACACGTAGGCCCTTTTCGACTAAGGGGGTCACTGGTCAGCGCGCGGACCCCTCTGACTGCAATGGAGTGCCTAGCCTCGCGGGCCGGGGCCCTTGATTGTTGGACCCGGTGTCGCTGCTGATTGATGTACCCAATCCAGGTGCATCAATCTCGGCCTTGAGGAACCCAACCTTACCTAACCCTCGGGACCTAAGGGGGGGGGGGAGGCACGTACCTCTGTGCCCCTTCCCCTACATGCGCTACGAGCAGCGTAATGGGCGCTTAAACACTTTTCCACCCGTCACCCTCACGGCCAACCAGGAGTGCTTCCGGGCTCATGGACCTGAATTCCCAGGTCAGCCGGACGCTCGCAGGCGTGCAATGCTTTCGCTGTTTTTTTTTTTTGCTTTTGAAACCTGCAACCTTTGGCCGGTTAGGGGCCCTTGCGGTCCTTCTGTGGTAGGCTCCGAGACTCCCGTAGTGCGAGGACCACGGGTCCACGGCAGCTAAGCCCGGAACATTTGTGAAAATTCAACATTGCTCCTGCTTTTGATGTTGACAAAAGGAATGCCCAAAAGTGGGTATCGGCCCAACTCAACTTAGGAGTGCTTCCATTGCCCCTGCCTACCTCTGGATCCGCCGCTTGCCGACGCATCATCATTGCCGCCGACAATGCACGCTCACGCCCATGGTGCACCTCAAAAAGCCTAGAATTTTTGGGGGAGAGCAAAAGTAAGCAGCCACCGCCTCTGACGGGTGGCGGGTGGCGGGTGAGCGACTGTCCAACCTGCTCACCCCGTGGGTCTTTCTACGTTGTATCCTATCCCGCGCACCCCCAACCGCATCTATACCGAATACACCAATTGAAATATGTTTATATAAATGGTGGCGCCTAACACGGAAGTTCCGCCAAAGTAATGGAATCAGCTAACAGATGTCGCTACGAATCGGCGCGAAAATGAGTGGACGAGGTGGCTAGCATACGTTAGAAGAACTGAAGCGGAGAAACTTTTCTTTAGCATCAGCTGTTGAAAGAACGAAAAACAAATGACGTCATAAAAATAACGGCTCTCTGGTAATTCAGGATGCTCATTCACAAGAGGTGTAAATTTTTTCAATATTGTAGCTTAGTAAAATAAATTAAAACACTAATATTTATTTGAAGGTCGTAATATTACCAGTTAAGTTTGATTTGAACTGAAATTTAAGCCCGAGCCAGCTGAAAAATAATTCCTAGATCCCCTTTCCTCCAAAATGGCGCGAGTACCTTCTGTGGAAACGTGTAGGCGCTGGCGAACCGAGAAACGTGCCTGCTTGGTGCATTCTGGCGCGGTTTGTTCCTGGAGGGGGTTCCGCATTTTCGGAAATGGCGTGACGTTTTTATGCATTCTTCGTGACCCATCCCAAGGTTAGTTGCCGCGCAAGCTTAACGTGTTCCATGCCATTTGCGATGTGCGATGACTGGGTGCGTTTTTCTGATGATGTCCCGAGGTGAGGGACTTTTCTACAGTTACCAAGGATAGATCTTACAAGTAAGTTCCTGTGGGCTAGTTTGTAGTAAGGTGTGGTATTTTGCATTCACTTCATGCTGAAGCACATTTGCCTTCCTGCTATGTGCTCGTGGTAATTCTGGGCAGAATGGTGATAGAGGTGCTAGTAGGTCAATATGAAAGATCACATCCACGGAGGATATGGGTTTGTATGCTCCATCCAGCTGGTAGAATTACATGCTTTCACAGAGCAGCTCATTCCATTTACTAACAATTTAGTTGTTTATGCAGGTACTGCTTCCAAATTATGCAACATGAGTGATAACTGTTAGTCTGCACACTAAAGCCCGAATCATTGAAAGGCATGTAATAGCAATGCTGCAACATGCCTCCTAGAAATAGATGGCCGTAACCTCCCTGGATGCCAATTGCCTTCCAATAAAGAGCTGACTTATAACCAAGTATAATGCCTAATTTGTTGAATGATTGATCAGCTGATTATCCTGGTTATGTTAATAATTAAATCATTATGCAGAGTAGAAGCTAATAAGTGCACTTAATGCTATATGTTCTTTTTTAACTTCAAGAAAGAAAATGAATTTTTTTTAAGAGTATAACTTACAGAAATAATTTGGCTGTCACATGAATTTGTAATGGCAAAAGGACTGCAGTGAGCCATGCCATTTAATGTGACTATTTTATTGTGTACTATATGATGAATTTTTTGCTATTTTAGGATGTATGTAGCAGAGCAGAAATTCTGTGGCATTTGATCATTTTTTGACAACCACATTCTCAATTGAATGATAATGCCTACGCTTCAAATTTTACGCCAGATCCATGGATGATATATTTGGAAACTGCGCTACACACAGGTCTTTTGAATGCCAAATCTGCCAAACAAATCTGCATTGAACACTTGCAAAATATTGGTGTACTGAATCTTGAGCTTGCTTGTGTTAAATTCTGGTCAGGCTGCAAACTCTGGTGTGCCATATCTGCACAATTTTCATAAGAAATGCTTTTAAAGTACCTTTGCCTTCACTTTCATCTTAAATGTCATAAATCAGATTTATAATGTATGGGAACTCAAGGTTTTTCCTTGATTTTGCTTCCGCTCTCTACTTGCCTGTTTTTTTTGCTGATTTTTTTGTGCACTGGTTAGTAAGTGCAGAACAAATCAGGGTGTGTTGATATGTGCACCAACTCCCTTTTAAATAATGATGATCACAATTCTTTATTGAAAGCTCCTAATCACAGTAAGGTTGTCTTAAAAAATTTGGTGTTTGTGATATATGGCTGGTAACGCTGATGTTGACCTATCACCTGCTCTGCTGACCTGTGGCATGTTAATGGTCTTCTTTTGATGTTGACAATTGGCAAGGCAGATTATTAGTGAAATATACAGCATGGATGCGCTACCACAAGGACAAATGTTTGCTAGATATAAGCACAGTAATACAACTTAAGACATTGAATATTTAATTGAAAATTAAAGGAATAGAATGTGAACAAGGTGATTTTTTTCAATCAGTTATAAAATGTTCCAGTTTTTGCATACCACACCACAGATGCAATAATGATTCTCTCTAACTGGCAGACCTTGTTTGATCATTTCCCTGGTGGGGTACCTATAGTAGACATACCTCTGGTAACATATAGTATCTTCTGTTTATCAGGAAGTTTCCATGTACTACAGCTTTTGCTGTGTTGTTTTTTATTGTGCAGAAGCTTTAATATTACACCATTAATGACTGATAGTATTGAGGTGGAGAGCACCCAGGAACCCCTTTTCTGAAACTCATGAAGTGGAGCATGCTGTGACCTAAACTGAAAAGTGTGAAACCACAAAAAGTTACATATAAAGTTTTTTTTTTTACCCCACAACCCATAATGATATAAGTTTTTTGTTTGTTCAAGAAGCATTTAAATTGTTTTGAATTCATCCACATTGCCAATTGGAATTTCTGGTTCATGGAAGGCCCAAAGGCAGGGAACATTCAAGCAATACCATTTACAAATTATTACAAAGTGCACAAGTAATTCTGCATACCTTTCTTAAGCCCATGAACGGAGGGGGCTATGCTGATCCACTGACTTTCCATTTGTGTTCCAATAGGCAAGTCTTATCTATATGTTTTCCCATAGGTGACTCCATTTGCTTCCATCACATGCTAGCATTTAGGCATCATCAACATAGTGATACAAATCATGTAGGTGATGTCTTTTTAATCCCACAGCATCAAAGACATGCTTCCTGTTCTTATATATCAATATTGGAACATATTGTCAGCACTATGATTGTAGAAGAGCAAGCAAGATTGCTGCTTTTGCATATTTGACAGTTCTGCCTGCTCTGAGGCATCTCAATGTTTCAGCCTAAATCACTGCTTTGATGGGGTACCTTTTGCCTTGTTGAAATTTCATTGGTGCCACTTTGTGGGAGGATGAATGTTCATAATGGTATTGCCTCATTACTGCAACCATTTGTTGCAATACTCAACTGTAACATGGAAAAATGGTTAGTGTTGGCAATATGGGCACAATCAGTGCTCTATTGCCTTTGGAATGGTATTATTAACAGGCATATCAAGTTTTCATGCTTCCATGTAATATTAGCAATGATTTGACTTACATTGTTTTCCCTGTTACTTGAAGCCTGGGTGACACATCAGGCTGGGAGCTGCAGCCCACTCAGTCAAAGGCAACGACATCATCAACTGCACCACACTTACGTCATGAGAGTCTGTGTCAGGTTCACTACTGTGGGTCTTGGGACATTTAATGGAAGTGGCCTTTTATGCCTGGGCATCACCAAATTTGGAGGATTCTTAATGAATTGAGGAAAAATTGCTGGCCAGCTTGAAAGCTTGTCCACAATTGTTTAGCTTTGCAACTCAAAGCCTTACCAGGGTGTGGTAAGGTAAACAGTGGATGTTTACAGTAAACAGTGGATGTTTACAGTAAACAGTGGATGTTTACCTTACCAGGATGTGGTGTCCCACTGAGAGCTAAAGCTGCTAAAACCAGCTTTGCCTGCTTGAACAAAAAATTCCCCAGTTGTCTTACATTTGATGATGGTATTCTGTTAGTCCATACAGCTAGCTTGTTGTCTCAGATGATACACATTATGCAGTTGTGGTGAGCAGTAAGATCTTACAGGTCTTATTATAATTATATAATTTACTGGGATATTTGGTTTTGTCTTTCCAACCTAAAACACCAAAAATAGCTGTCCAGGAAATGACCTTGCAGGCAGAAAATGTCATGCAAATGAAAAGGATCTCAGGATTTCTTCACCATAAATTTTTAGTGCACAAATCATTCCTAAACATTGAGTGTGCCAGTCTTGTTGATTTAAGTTGAGACTTTTCGGCCTGTGGGCAATGGGACAGAGTGGCATGAGCTTGCAACAACACCTTTTGCTCCTTTTTTCAGGTTTGGCTTCTGTTTAGGAATCCCTCGCACAGCTGGCTTCAGCTTTTCAGCTTTGCATCCTTCTGATGGTTCGAATTAGCATCATTTGAACAGTTAACTTCCTATTTGGCAACAACTTCTAATGTTTGGAATTATGGTGATGTTTTGGACTTCATGGGATCCTGAAATGTTAGCTATGACTCAAGCATGGCCATTTGGTCATAACAGTTGTAACTCACCAATAAGTCTGATGCAGCCTGACTTTCATGCCCAGTTGCTGTATTGATGCATGTTTATGTTGCAAAATAGGAAATCAGCAGGGCAATGAAGAAGCAAGGAATGTGTGTGCACATGCACAGTAGTGTATTGGCAGTGTGGTGGTGCTGCTGATGAAGTTCAGTATCCTGATGCAAATTGAAATAACTGATGAATTTTTCTCCTGTGGTTTTTCAGAGGTCTGCTGACAGTTCTTCATTTCATCATGGATCAGCAGTTCATTGAAGGCTGGGACAAGGCGCCCAACCTTCTAGGAGAGGGAGCCTTTGGCGAGTAGGTGTCATTGTCAAGGACAACAGATCAGGTTGCTGAAAGTTGGTGTGCAGTAATGTTTGCCCCATTGTTTCCTATGGCATGCCAGTTTTATTAATGCAACAAGGCTGAAGAACTGGTGCTTGGTGTGTTGTGCTGTTTTCTTTCCATCTCCATGGGCCATTTCATTATGTGCTGGTGGCGACGGGCTCGTCATCAGGATGACTCCTGCGCCGTTAATCACGACTCAATGCCTCATCGGCCGTGCCTGATGCCTGAAGGCACTAATCACCACCTGAACTTTAATAATGTGCGTGTGCCGTGCTGCTGCGCGTGCCGTCTCTGTGTGTGCGTGGGAGGTTGGGAGGGCTGCCCCCCGCGCGCGCGCCGTGCTGAGCGCCGTGCTAATCCGCCGCCGGCGCCGCAGGGTGCACCTGCTCACGAACCGCGCCACCGGCGAGGCGGTGGCCATGAAGGTGATCGACACGCGCATCCACGCCGGCGTGTACGAGCAGGCGCGCAAGGAGTTCACCATACACCGGCGGCTGGACAACGACAGCATCATCCGCGTGTACGGCGTGCGCAAGGAGCCGCCGCTCATGTACCTGTTCCTCGAGTACGCGCCCGGCGGCGAACTCTACGACAAGATAGGTGCGTGGCGACTGCTCGGGCGTTGCCCGGTTGGCCTGGCGACCGCCGCTCTGCTGGGCGCCAGGTCTACCGCTCAGTGCCCCCCTAAGCATGTCTTTGTTACAGTGTCTCGAGTGGTACTATCCATCGTAAGTGCGGCCAGTAGTAACAATTGTCCATGTCCGATGCAAGTATACGGACAGTTCTACCTTTACAAATGTTAGCTAGCAATTTCACGAATTTTCAGTCAGTTTGATTTGCAACTGGTCTTTTCGCGTTTCTTTATTCCTTTCAGGGAATACGGCACTTGCGCGGTGTCATTTTTCAAACGACGCGCAGCCGTTATATCATCGGGTTTGCGTCTGGATTTGTTGGTGGAAAGCAGTACACTGTGTGCTGCAGAGATCTCTGTAGTGACTGGTTGGAAGTAGAGAGATGGCAGCATCGACCGGGCGTGCCTTACCGGAGCCCTGCCGTGGGTTTACAGAGCCGGACGTCGGGCTGCCTCAGCTGGAAGCTCAGCGCTACTTTCGCCAGATCATCGGGGGCGTGGTGAGTGGCGAGACCGCACCATATCATTCCGCCGGCTGGGGGGACGCTGCGTGGACTCGCACTGCAAGGGGCAGAGACACTGCGTGCGTGCGTGCGTGCGTGCGTGCGTGCGTGCGTGACACAGGTTATATTGGCTCGGCATGTGCAGAGAGCTCACTGAACCGCGCGGTAGCTGTCTTTGGATTGGTGTGCTTGGGCTGACGTTTTTCATAGACATTGATTGACTGCTGCATTTTGGCAGTAACCTCGCGTTATTTCGGCTCCCGCACTCGCGACCACGACTGCTAATGGTTCGTGGCGTCATGCTACGACCCGCTGTCCAGGAGATCACGTCAGGCGCGCTCGCCGCACCGGACAGGTGGAGCAGCGGGGAGAGCGACCAGCGCACTCTCCAGTTAGCTGTTCTGATGCGTTAAACGTTGACCTGCGTCATTGCTGACATTGAGACTCCTAGAATTTCGCCGCATTGCACTGCTCCTGAGAGGGCGTGAAGGCCGCGTCCGTTGTCGGGGGGAGCGACGATGGACTCGTCATTCAGCGGCACTGGGTACGAGCCCCGTAGCGGGCGCATTGTTTGGCTCGACTGAAACGGAAAGATCGGTTGGCGGCCGGCCAGCGAGGGTGACCCAGGTCCGAGGGTGGTGGCGGCCGGCCAGCGAGGGTGACCCAGGCCTGGGGGCGGTGGCGGCCGGCCAGCGAGGGTGACCCAGGCCCGGGGCGCTGGCATCCGGCCAGCGAGGGTGACCCAGGCCCGGGGGCCGTGACGGCCGTAGCATAGCATCGTGCCACTCGTAAACAGCCGGCATCTCCGGCTGGGCGGAGGCAAAATTATCCCTTGAACTGGACGACAGCGTGGGCAGTTGGTTAAGCATTCACACAACGAGCTATGCTTGTCAAATATTCTGAATCCATGGGCACACATGCGAGCCGTTTGGGATCAGTTTATAAAAAGGGCGTGTTGGACCCACTAGCACTTCCGGTTCAAGCAGGGGTGAGGGACCGGCGCGGTGTCGGTGCGACAGTAGCGGGGTGCGGCTGCTGGGCGGGGGTTACGCACCCGGTCGCATATCACCAGTCCCAGCCGACGGACGGCCGCCGGCGCCATCTTTGGTAAGACCAGGATGCATGTAGCATATAGTTCATGCACTTGGATTACCAACCGTGGTGCTGGCGGCGTGCCTGTGACCAGCATGAACCGGTGCGGCGCGGCCGACGCTCATGTGCGGCCGTGGGCGGCGCGCCGTGTGGGGGGGTACTGAGGGTTGTCCCGTGGACGCGTAGTCGCCACCACAAACGGCGTCCAGACCCAGCAGGTGCCGCTTCGCTGTTTCTCTGCAGTGCAGGACAGGTCTGAAACTCCAGTAGCACTCAGCCGCGCTGCAGGTTATGAAGGGGACCGTAGGAGCACGTGTTGACATGCACACACGTGAACAAGACCATTGTACGGTCACGGAACTAGTGGGGCTTCTGCCGAGTTATAAATGTTCTGAATTGCATTCGAACGCTGCAATGATCTCAAAAGTATTCATATAAACTAAAGGCAGTTGCATTACACGTTTCGTGTCTGTCTGTGAGCATAAACGCGAGGCCGAATGGATCAGTGTGGTAATGGGTGATTTGTGAGACACGTTTTTAGTTTTACGTGTGCTGTCTTTTGTTGGATTCGAGACGTTTCCTTCACATGCGTTAGAAGTTGGTGAAAATGCCGCCTTGATGCTACGTAGCGTTTTGTAGTAATGGCCGTACCAAACAAGCGCACTCTGGTTTTTCAGCGAATAAGCTTGTTGAAAAATTCACGTAGATTTGGGGACATTGCAGGGAAGATTGCATACATTTGAGGGTGCGTTTGGGCCCCCTTCCTCCCCTCACGGAGAGTGAGAGGGGAGGAAGGAGCCCGACAGCGAGGTTGGCCGGCGGCGGTGGGCGTCGGGTGACGGTCGTGACCGCGCCACAGGAGTACCTGCACCGGCTGGGCATTGCGCACCGCGACCTCAAGCCGGAGAACATCCTGCTCGACAACCACGACAACATCAAGATCTCCGACTTCGGCATGGCCACCATCTTCCGGCTGAACGGCGTGGTGAGTGGACCGAGCGTCGGCTCCGGCTCCGGCTCTGGCTCTGGCTCTGGCTCTGGCTCTGGCTCTGGCTCTGGCTCTGGCTCTGGCTCTGGCTCCAGCTTCTCTTCCTCCTTTCCCCTCGATATCGGCATGATCTTTTTGATAGGATATGCTAGTTATTGGTGTGCATTTTCCTGTATTTTCTTCGGCGCGGACTCTTCTTTCACAGAAGTCTGGTATCGCTCCAGAATCGGCGAGTGACAGAAGATATGTTTTGCCCCATGTTGCGGCTCGACTCATGTCAGAGTACAGGAATGCACCTGGGATTTGGTTAGAAGGGATTTTTGAGGGAACGAAGAGAACAGATATTCCAACAAAGCACTTTTTGCCTCTGGCAAGTCATACAACTTCTGAAATGTTTCTGCATTTGCCCTTCGTCTTCGGCGATAACTGTATGGATTGCAATGCTGCCACGGTAAAAGCCTCACTACTGTACTCGCTTCCAATTTGACCCACGCGAGAGCGTAAGTTGTAGATCTCTGGCGGAGAGAGCCCGCCGAGTGCCGCTGGGAATGCGGTGCGGCGCGGGTGGCGCTGCTCCCGCTGGGACTGACCTGACCGGCGGCCGGCAGGAGCGCAAGCTGGACAAGCGGTGCGGCACGCTGCCGTACATCGCGCCCGAGGTGCTGCGCGGGCCGTACCGGGCTGAGCCGGCCGACCTCTGGTCCTGCGGCGTCATCCTCGTCGCGCTGCTCACCGGAGGTAGGCGGAGCCGCCCCCCCCCCCCTTCGACCCCCCTTCGACCCCCCTTCGACCCCGCCTCCTCCACGGCGCCCACAACTTGCCAGCGTACTTGCTCTTTTCAAGTGGTCTAATTTTTCTCGCTGAACCTGCAACTTGCTGAGATGTTAGCTTGTATTATTGTAACGTACGAATCCGGTGCATTTGGATGCGTACGGTCAGGCCAGTCGCGACCATCCTGCCTTGCATAGGTCACCTGTTCGGGATAATGCCGACGCTAGCACGACGGCCGACAGTCAGGCCGTTAGGTAAAGTGAACTGACCAGTAATAGCGTGTCATCCTGCTTGCCACAACCATTTCCAAGATGCACGCTCGGTGTGTGGCGCAGGTGTTATCCGGATTTGTCCGAGGTATTCCTGTTGTCTCCCTTTGTGTGGTCTTGTTGTCGGATGGGCGTGGCAGAAGTAGTAAGATATGCTCTTCTAACATCAACATCCACGCAACGTGGCTCCATATCCCGTTTCGGAGCTGTGAAACACGACAGAAGTCAACGCACGAGCATGAACAGGTCACACCACTGGACAACGCGAGTTATAGGGAATGTTTCAGTCTAGGTTTGGGACAAGCTGATATGATCGTTACGTTTGTAGTTCTCATCGCTAATTAGTTAGTCTCACAAGGCTCGGGCCCGTCCGGACGGACAGCGACGCTACTGAGGTCCCAGCGCATGTCACCAAATGAGCGGGAGGGTTACGCCCAGAACGGAACGTTCCGGGCCGAGGAGGGTCCCATGTACAAATTATTGTTTCCTTATGCGCTCCAGTAGTGCAGCTCAGGCGAAGTCTGTGTGTAGTCGGCAGGCTGCCCGCGTGAGTTGCCCAGCATTGGATTTCAGGGCGTGATTTCAGAAAGCCAAACAGTAAGGTGGTGGGCCAATGCCAAAGCGCCATACCAGATGTCTCCTCGGTCCCGTGGACTGTAGTTAGGAGAGCGGTGTCGTGTGGCCCTCCAGCAGTATCCACCGCCAGACATGTGCCGGGAGCCCGAGCAGCGAGGTTGTGGCGAGGTTGAGCAGCGAGGTTGTGAGGTTGTGTGCCGAGCAGCGAGGTTGTGGGTCAATACCAAAGTGTCACACCTGATGTCTCCTCGCTCCCGTGGACTGTAGTTAGGAGAGCGGTGTGGTGTAGCCCTCCAGCAGTGTCCACCGCCAGACAGGCGCCGGGAGCCCCGCGCAATCCCGTGTCCACGATCCGAGAACATGCTCGATCTACCGCAGTGAAGAAAATGTGTCTCCGGCCGGACAGCCTGGCCTGTGGTGGACACAAATCATGGGCCTGCGTTTGTCCGCGCCCGCCACTTGGCTGTAGCGCGCAGTGGCGTGGAGCGGACACCTTGTTTGCACCCATTGGGGGGGGGGGGGGGGGGGGGGAGCTCAGCCCGATGCTCAAGACAGGGAGGAGACACTGACGATCTGAGAGGTCAAACCACTGTCACGCGAGGGTCGTTGGCTGCAGTGGGTAAATACACCGGTTGGGAGGCAGTAACCCGTCCCCCTGCTGGTGACGGCTCTGCCTCTGCCCGCGGCATGCGCCCGCGTGTGATTGATGTCATCGGACGGAATGACACGTGGTCGTCACGTGACCGGTCACGTGACGTGATCACGTGATTGTCACGGCCCCTCTCTCCGCCCGCCCCACGTAGCAGCACGAGAGGGGTTATCACACACCCGCAAGCAGCCGACGGCCGGCAGCTGTGCAGCGCGCGCGGGGCGATAGATGGCGCGTAGGGTGGGGCTTGCAGACGGGGACTTCCGGCTGTCTCGGGCGAGAGTGCAGCTTGCTCAGCCAGCTGGCCTTGACTGCAGATGGGCGCAGCATGCGAGCAAACACCCGACCGGCGCTTTTACGTAGCGCGGAGCTTTATTCGCGTGTTATGCATTGCCCCCACCGTAAGGTCACGATCAAGGCTGTAACTCGCTGTCGTAATCTTGTAAATACAAAGAACCAAGGCAGCTCGAATCGTCTCTCCCGTCCTATGCACATGTAGTTTAGTGCACCGTGACAGCAGCGCGCCCTGGACCCCGCGGTGTCTGGACCGCCGAGCAGCGGCATTGACTGGGAGTAGTTGGCCGGCTGCCCGCACGCGCGTGCTCTGCCGCCACCCGTCGGCCGGGCGCGCCGTCTTTGGTGGTTTAGCTGTATGAGTGGCGTTTCAAGTCATAAAGCTGAACCACCGGGGCTGCGCGCCCGGCACCGCCACACGAGGCGAGCAGTGAGCGTCGTGGGCGGGCCGCACCGGCGCCGCCAGCGCCCCGGGCACCTCTGTCTGCTCTGCATGCCACCCGCGTGGCAGCGGCTCCGCTGCGCTGGCACCGGGCCGACCTGCTTCTGCTGTGGCTCGGGGCGTGGACGAGAGGTGTGATCCAGCGTGCCGTGTCCCCGGACGGGCCGTCCGTCTGTAAACAATGTTGAAAAGATCCACAGGCCAGAGTTCTACGGTGCGTTGACTGCGAAAGTCATGCAGCTATCGGGTCATACGCAACGGGTTAGATTATTTCTTAACTCGTATGGCGGATATAAATCTTGTAGGTCTCTTAGGCGCGCCTGGTTGGAATTTTTGCCATCTGTAATGTAAAGTGGTCCGACTCAAGAAAGCTAAGCAAACGGCGGTGCAGAAGCTATGTTTGTTATTGTTGGTAATCGTGTTGCATCTATGTTGGAATGGGCGGCGTGGTGCGTCCTAGAGCCAGCGGTGTGTGTATGCGCCTGACGCCTGGTCGCCACCCTCGGCAGAGCTGCCGTGGGACGAGCCGACGCCGACACAGCCCGAGTACCGCGGCTGGCGGGACGGCAAGATCGGCCGGCCGCCCTGGGTCAAGGTCGACAGTCTGGCGCTGGGCCTGCTGCAGCGGCTGCTGCAGCACGCGGCCGGCCGGCGCGCCACCGTACAGACCATCCGCGACAGCGCCTGGTTCAAGCGCCGCCTGCGGTCCGACGGTACGTGACGCGCCGCCGGCCCGGCGGGACCCGGTCAGGCCGCGCTCCCTCCGCCGCCGCGCGGCTCCCGGCCGCCGGGTCTGAGCTCCGCTGACCAGTAGCGTGGATGCCGGAGTGGAGTTGCCGGTAGATTCGGTTCATTTCACGGGCATGGCGCTTTCCCGGTGATAAGGGGACATGCTATGCCGATCAGGCGTGTGTATGTGTGTGTTATGCGGCGTCGGCTGTCGCTTGTATTTGGGCGTTGCCGCAGTACGTTGCGTCTCGGGACGTTACCTGTTGTCGGCGTGCCGGGTGCAGCCTGCACGAACGCCAGGCGGTGCCATCGGACCGCGCGTCGGAGGAGAGGCGGCCCGGCGGCCGACCCCATCCGATCGCCGCTCCCCGCTTTGGCAATCTAGCTTATGAGAGTTGCTGACGTCATAAAGCTAGACTACCAAAGCAGGGCGTGGCGACGCTCGTCCGGGGCGGCCTGCGCGCCGGCAGCAGTCGAGTGAGACGGTGTCCAGAGGGTTAGCGGACGGGATGGGGGGCTCGTGTCGGCTGGCGTGTGCTCTTGTCGCGTCTTTGGTGACCTAGCTGTTATGGGTGAATATGTCGCCATAAAGCTAGGTTACCGAAGGTGGGAAAAGATGTCCCGCTTCTGGTCGAGAGCCTGTCGGGACGGACAGGATGGGCTGGGCCAGGCGGACTGCTGCCTGCGGGTGCGTTTTGCCTGGGGGTGTGGGCTCGTTAGTCAATGAAATAATTGGAACATTTGGTGACGTTACGTCTCCAGCTGAACCGTCGGGCTTTGGGTGTGTGCTCGCCCGCACACAGCGCGTGTTATGGGGTTGGTGGATTGGGCCGGGTGCGTTTACCTTAAGCGTGGCAACAACACAGGTTCGGTTCCCGGATTATGCGTGGTGTTCCGGGTATTATGTTCAGCGGCATATGGTGGATTTTTTCGACAATTGTCTTGAACGTTGGACGCTGGGTTCCTTGCTAGCGTTTTTTTTCATGTATTGCTACGATTTCATAGCCTTTTGTCACGCACTGTCCAAAGTCTGCTTCGATGTCCGATGCCTACCAATCTCTTGTGAATGTGTGTGCTTGGCTCCATGTCAAGTTTTCATGGCATTTGCCGTGGGTCACGTGGCACAGTACCGTTGCATACCAGTGGTCAGTATTTCCGGTGCCACCCGCCGAGCAGGCGCGACTGGCGCCAGCTGCAGCCAGGAGGCCGCGTGCCGTCGGCCCCGGCTGGCCAGGCGTGCACGACTCTGACCGGGCGTGTGTGACCCTTCCGGCCGCAGGGGACCGCTGGTCGCTGGACGGCTGCCCGCCGGCCAAAGCGGCCGTGCGCGGCCGTGGACGGCTCGCCGCTGCACCCGTCGCTGCGCATGGCCTGCTCGCAGCCGGCGCCGACGCGCCGCGCCGACGACACGCCGCCGGCCCGCGGCGGCGCCGACGACGTGCCGTCGTTCTCCCAGCCGGCGGCCGGCGCCGATGAGCTACTGCTCGGCACGCAGTTCCAGAACACGCAGCCGGGCACGGCCAGCAGTCAGGTCAGAGCCAGTATGGGGCGCCGGGCGGCCGGCCGGCCGGCCGCCAGACCACGTGAGCCCCGTGCAACACTGTTCATATGCGTTCAGCGACACGTCATGGGACGAACAGAGCGGAATGTAGCTGGTGTGACCTGTGCCGCCACATTTGGGGAAGTGGTGTGTGTTGTGTCGGACGTATGACGTGACATAGCACGGCGTGTGACGTTAATTGTGGTTGTGTCTTGCCGCAGACGCCGCTGCAGCGGCTGGTGAAGCGCATGACGCGCTTCTTCGTGACCACCAACCAAGCGGAGACGCTGGACCGGCTGAAGGAGCTGTTCGACAGCTGCGGCTACACCTGGCGCTTCACAGGATCGTGCACGGTGAGTGGCCAGCCTGGCCTCGGGTGCGCCTGACTCAGCAGGGGACGGGGGTCGCGATGCGCCACGGCTACCTGACCTGAGCCGCACGCGGCGCGGCGTTTGCGGTGGCGTGGGCTTGGCCCGGAGGACTGCGGTGACAGCCTGCGGTCTCGCTCGCTCGCTGACCACGTGGACTGGTCGCAGCGACCGTTCATGCGTGGGCAGACGTTAGTACCGTGTCGTGGGCCGTCTGGTGTCGGGCTGTCCGGTGGTGTGACTCGGTGCACCAAAGTTCATTGAGGTGGTTTGTCACCGGTGGCGTGGCGTCGCCGAGCGGCCAGCTGTCCGTCTGCCATCGGCGAACGGGTCTGACGCGACGGCTGTTGTCTGGCGCAGATGACCGTCCAGACGCTGGACCGGCGGAAGATGCCACTGACCTTCAAGGCCAGCGTGCTGGACATGACGGACCACGTGCTGGTCGACTTCCGGCTCTCCAAAGGCTGCGGCCTCGACTTCAAGCGCCACTTCATCCGCATCAAGCAGAAGCTGCCCGACATCCTGCTGAACGTGCCGGTGAACTGGTCGGTGGCGGCGGCTACCAACAGCGTGCCGTAGCGTCGGCCGCCGCACCTCTGGGCGGCCTCCTGTACATACTGCGCCTCATCCACTCATCATCGTCTCATCACATGGCATCCCAGTGGGCGCCGGCCGGCCGCATGTTTTGGGTGAGGGGCTTGATCTGAGGGACGCTGTGCCCGCCGTCGGCCGCTGGCCGTGTGTTTCGCCGGGGCGTGGACCCCGCAGTGGCGTCCGCCGCAGTCTCGCCGGCCGGCAGCCCCTGCTGGGCCGTCTCAGCTGTGACCCAGCGGTGGCGTCCGTCGCAGACCCGCCGGCCGGCAGCCCCTGCTGGGCCGTCTCAGCTGTGACCTAGCGGTGGCGTCCGCCGCAGTCTCGCCGGCCGGCAGCCCCTGCCGGGCCGTCTCAGCTGTGACCCAGCGGTGGCGTCCGTCGCAGACCCGCCGGCCGGCAGCCCCCGCTGGGCCGTCTCAGCTGTGACCCAGCGGTGGCGTCCGCCAGCCCATGCTGGGCCCGTCCCATCTGTGATCTGTGTGGCGCGGCAGACCACGCGCTGTTATGCCTGGTCTCCGCACTCTTGTAATAAAAGCGCAGCTGGGACGTGTCTTGTGTCCCATGCTGGGAATGTACACTCAGGATGAATATACTCCTTTGGTGCTAGCTGCTGTTGTCATTGCTCCGGCGCTAATATTTTGGGCGGAATGCACTTCTGACAAGGTTTTACCACAATCGTGAAGCCTTGTTTCATCCCTTTTATTTCATTTGCTTAACGTTATTCCATTCCGGCTCTTTCAGATGGTATACATTACGCAATGTATCTCGAAGTCGACATTTCAAAGTTATGCACATTCAAAATCCCGTGTGGACATCGCAAGGTGCTCAAGCAAAATGATGGTGCCACACGCAGCCCAGTTCTACGGTTGGATTATCACGTCTGTTTACAGATCATACGGTTTACGCCACTCTGCATCCAGTAGGCAATACACAACTGAAGTCGCAGATTGGCCATGCGAGCGTTATGCCCCAGTCGGTAAGGCCGATAGGTGGCAGTCGATATGACTGACAGGTAGGAGGGCCGATTGCGGAACGCTCGACCTACCTATGCCCAAAACCTGGTTCCCCTGGATTTTGACCACTTGCGTTTGCGTTCCCGGTGTCAGGCTTTTGTTTTAAATCGTCAGAGTAAAGATTGTGTTGCGGAAGAATCGCTTCCAGGTTAACCCTATACCAAACCGCGGTTTTGTAAAAGGCTCAAAATTGGTTGTGATTCGCGGAAAAGATCTAGCAAGATGGTCTGATATGATCACAAGAGAAAGAGTCTCGCTTATCGCTCATGACAGGCAGCCTGGGACTCAAAAGGACAGTTCTATACAGGACGGCCTGACACGTGCAGGCTTAAAAGAGTATTAGTGCGCACACTATTCTTTGTGAAGAGGCTATCTCAAATGGATGTTGGGCGCTGCCAGGCAGTACCTATACGCCAAAGAGGAAATGAGCTTGCATGATCTCAGCAAATATGTCTACAACCAGACGGACAAAGCTGGGAAAGGATAGTGACTGAACGTGCGATCAGAATGGCCGTCCCAGTACTTAGCGCGATCAGCGCTTTGGCACGAGTTTGATGTTATAAAAACAAGAATGGCCTTGCGTTTATGGTTACGCTCGGCATTCTGAGTTGGAAGTGGGCCGCAAATCAGCATTTAGTTGACGAGAAGGTGCTGGTTGAGCGACGTTGTCAAGCAAGCGATGGCTATGCCAAGGAAATTCAGCGTTCCGAAGCTGAGTTTATGTTCAGATTTCGCAGAAATCCACCAGCACGGCACGATTTCTTCCACTCTTGAGCCAACCACCCAAAATGTGTCAGTTCCATCCATGAGCACCCATTTTGCGGCGCGATCAGGCGGAAGATATACCACCTCTGCCTTACATCCTTGGCCGCCATCACACTTACAATTTGGCACATCCCCACGTCCGGCAAGACAGCAGTCCTTACACCTCAAATGCGGAGAGCAGTGCGCGAATCGTCACATTGTTCGTGCTGAACGGAGCAAACCAGTCTGGTTGAGTCCTATTTATTAGTTGCTGACAGAAGAACACGGTAATTGGTCAACCCTTAAATATATATACCTGTTTTTGAAGCTGAGTCCGCACAATTACGGTTGCTTGCACTAGTACGTGTTCCAGTCGCCAGGCCAGCGTGAGCGCGCTGGAGGCGTCGCGCTGGCCACACACGCATACTTATTTAGCTACACCCAATTAGTGAAGTACACCGATTCATAATCCGACTGGCAAACACTCTGCAATGAGGTTTTCAGTTTTGTTGAAACCTGTCCGTCCAGACCATGCGATCGTCCTCCAGCAAACAGTTACCGACGTGATTTCTGTAGCTGTGTTGGGTGGCCTCCACTCAGAACACATTTTAAACGTGGTTTGCAGTCTGTAGGGGCGTATACGGAATCTCAGGATGGGGAAGGGGCTGGGGCAACGCAGCAGAGGCGGGGGCGGGGCCGGGGGGGGGGGGGGGTCAGAGCACCCTCTATATTCAGGAGACCCCCATTACTGGAACTGGAGGCTTCTTCCATGCACCAGATGGCCGCGGTCTCGAATCCGGATGATCGGCAGTGTGGTAAGGAGGCTCCTTAGCTAGATTTGAAAGCCCCTTCATGAATCGGAGGCATTTTGTTCTAGATTGGTAGCCCCCCCCCCCCCCCCATGCCTCAGGAGATCATTTTCTGGAACAGGAGGCCCTGTGCTGTGATAGCGAATGGCACCGCCCAGGAAGCGCCCTGTGAGGAGACTTCATTTAGCCTAGGAGCCCCCCTTGAAACCCCTACCTTTCCACCTTAAAATCCGTGTCGCCGCTCCTGGGGGATAGACTCTGTGTTTCACTGAAATATTTTGCTAGCGCGCCGCAGTCGCGAAGAAATTCTGGCGTAGCGCGAAACAACATTACGTGTTCTCGACCATATCGTTTTCACAGACTCACTTCTACACTAAGCCTCCCATATACCACATCTTTGCTTCAAACTCCCTCCACACCATCGCATGTACCGTTCATCGAGTGTCCACTGAGCTGAAGAGGACGACTAATGAAACACCGACCGACGATTTTTGTGCCCTACTATTTGAATACCAAAGCAGCCAAACTCGGGCGAAACATAGCACGTTTGGTCACTTTAAAGACTAGGCAGCTTTCTAGAATGCAATTGTGTTTTAAGGTATCCTTGAAAGGTAAGAAAACAATACTAAATACATTTTTGGGAATCACTGCATCTGTTTGCACTTTGCTGCACTCCAAGACTGACAATGCCCCCCCCCCCCCCCTACTCCTTCCCTTTCCAGACGGTGTTTTGCGTCCGCCCTTGCTGTTTGACAAACCAATTATCAGCCATCGAGACACATAAATTAGCTATGGATTATCCCGTGGCCATCAAGTTCAGCTCACTACACCACTCGATGGACGATGTAAAACTGATTTGGCTGTAGGGAGTGCGGCGCATAGATGTGCTGTATAAGAGGCTATGATGCGGCTATAGGAGGTTCACAAAGGAGACGTGGATTTATGTGCTGGCAATGCCGCACCTTTAAGAGGGGACTAACATAAAAACACAACCATATGACCAATAGATGCTCCAATCTGTCTTCGAAATTGTTTTTGCACATCGGCTGCCACACATACTGCACATTTCATGTTGGATCATTTTTGGCTATGATGGAGGGCGACAAATTCGCCTTGTTCAGACTGATTCAGGTTCGAAATACGACTGAATCGTTGTAGTGCAGAATACTAGCACGGACAACAGAAATAGCGTGAGAACCATGTAAAGGAAACCATGAACATGCAGACATCAACAGAGACCATGAATAAACCGTGTGGTCTACATAGGTGCGTGGCCATTTTTATTTTGTTATGATATGGCAACACCATGCCACGAGACGTGCTGGGGCGACACTCAGTTGGCGGACGTGCCGCCTGCTTGCTGCAGCCGTGGGTCCTGACGCCGGCATTGCCAGCAGCCGCCTAGGCGCCGAACTGGTAAACGCACTCGTGTTTGTAGACTTGCCCCGGCTTCAGAATCACCGACGGGAAGGACGGCTGTGAAGGTCAGACGTGAACCGTCACACGGCTGAGGTCAGACGGAAACGATCAGACGGCTGTGAGGGTCCGACAGGAGCGGTCAGGCGGCTGTGAAGCTCACACGGAAGCGGTCCGACAGCTGTGAAGCTCACACGGAAGCGGTCCGACAGCTGTGAAGCTCAACCGGAAGCGGTCAGACAGCTGTGAATATCCGACAGGAGCGGTCAGACGGCTGTGAAGCCCAGACGGAAGCGGTCAGACGGCTGTGAATGTCCGACAGGAGCGGTTAGACGGCTGTGAATGTCCGACAGGAGCCGTTAGACGGTTGTGAATGTCAAACGGGAGCGGTCAGACGGCTGTGAAGGTCAAACGGGAGCGGTCAGACGGCTGTGAAGCTCAGGCCGGAGCCGTCAGACGTCCGCCCGATTTCGACAGCCGTAGTCAGCGGGTGGACACTGGCAAATATTGGTCAATGCCGCTCACTGGCAAGTTCGAGCGGGCAAAGGTTTATGAAAGACGGAAAGTTACAGGCATTTTTCCTCGGAAATACCTTTTGTTTTCCCGTATCTTGTACAAGCGTCATTCACAGAGCCGGCGAAAACGACAGACGAGGGTGAAACGCCCGTCGCTACACACTTTGACCTACTGCCCATTCAGTGGTCCGGGGTCCGACGATACTCACGACATTCACGGCGTTGGGGAACGCGCTGGTCTCCAGTGCGATGCTGCCGTGCTTGCGGTAGAGAGCGCCGCCTTTCCCCGGAATGCCACCGGGTGCGACCGGCATGTAATTGGACGTGTAGATCACCACAGCTCGCTGGTCGGTGAAGACGCTCAGCGACCGGCCGCTCGGTGCGTGGCTCAGCCTGCCGGGTCGGGGGCACGCTGCAGGCGGCGACCGCGATGGGGTGCGACCACTGGTCCTCGTGCTGGGGGACAACTTGTAGCATGCGGAGGAACACGGAAGCCCATTTCCATGTAAAGCACCAACGGGCGTGCGGATGCTTGCGAGGCAATCTTGGCGACATTGGCAATTACCATGGCTTGTTTTAACTGCGTCCGCTAATGTGACAGGCGCCAGAAGCAAGTTTTTCGTCTTCGCAGCGTACTCTCTACTGCAAATGCACCTAGTGGTCAACTCAGGTTTTTCGCGCTCATCAGGCCCTATTTTGCATGTTAAGAGGAAGAACAAAACCTCCAATCACACAGTAAAACCCTGTTTGCCAGCAGCTTACGCTTACCAGATCCTTGAAACGGTTCAGACAAAGATCGTGAGGAGTATGCATTCCGAAGTGACAGTTGTTCTTAAATAGGCCATTCCATGACAAACCGGCCGCGGATAGACGCATTTCAACACAACACCCTTTTCCAAATTTGACAAAAACACGTTTGAAGAGTAATTGTATGGGCAACACGCGATTCTGCAAGTTTTAGAACCATACAGCGCACCGATAAGGAACTACAAGCAGATGACAATATGCAATTACGTCACAAATCCTATTTTCAACCTGCTCTAGCAAAGCAGTTTGGCAACTACAGTGTTTGGAGAAAGGGCATCGAAAAGCTAAATACTTCTTTCTGAAACACGGGTCAATAAAATATCCAAGGCCATAAGGTGTAAACACTTTGCCGCTCGTTACTTTGCGTATATTCTTTGGCAGCTTGCAGTGCCATTCCATAGTTTCTCCAAATAAAGCCATATCCGCTTAAACGCATCGCGTTTACCTTCCTTCCAAGCATAAACGTTTGAAAACCATGTCCACAAGACCAAAGAAACAACATTCCACAGCACAAATCCCTGAATAAACAAGCGCAGAGTTAGGAACCACAATAACAATGAGTTTATCAGCAGATGGGTAGTGAGAACGTTTCATCTCCCGCTTGACATCACAGTGTGACTGCCCCGACCTGGCGCTGACTGAGTCAGTGCACGCTGCTCGTGCGGTACTCACTTGGCGGCCAAGACCAAGCCGTCGTCTGCGTACGGCAGCTCGAATATGTCGTCGATTCCGCCGCCCATCTGCTGCATGACGTCAGGCAGCGGGCCATGCGGCGGTGCCGGGTTCAGCACGGCCTTCCCGCCTGCGGTCACACGCGGGCGCTGCCGTCAGGCGCTGCGACACTGCAGTCGACCAGCGCCGGGCAGCAGTGTGTGCAACAGGGTCAGCAGTGCAGCCGCCGTGATATTCTCAGAGAGTATGGAGGAGGGAGAGGGGGGAGGGGGGCACGACTACCGTTACAACATTCTGAAACTGTATACTCGTCAACCTGAAGATGAAGACCCATGTGTTTTACGCTACACCCGGTTTCGCCCATTATGGGTACAGTTGAATCATGTTTTATACATCCTATGATTTTCCGGACGCCTAGCGTTACTCTTGAGCTTTCCGATATATCCTATATCTACTTGTCGGGCGTCGTAAAGTATGTGACGTAGAACCGTCAAAGCGCTATACAACTTTTCACCATGATCTATGGACCAGCAAACAGTTTTGACACCGATGCTGCCTCATTTACATAAACCCCGACCCCTCTGGCTAAATCTCATACCGGTAGCGATTCCCCCTTCCAAGACCAGCTTCTTCTCGGCGTTGATGCTGATGTCATGAGCTTTCAGGCCCGCCTCGCCACTTCCCTGTGGCACAAGATCACATTAGCGAGGCGCACATCAGTGGCCCCAGCCTAAAATCGGACAGTTGGCCACACATGAGAACCAAGACGCCGAAGAGCCAATGAAACGGTGCAAATGAAACCGACCCACCTGCTACACAGCAGCTTGAGACCATCCCAACCATGTACATGGCCGAGTCGTGCTTCTGTCCTGTACAGCGTGGGGCCTCCCTCGTACGCGGCAAAGGCCTTTTGCCGGATGTTGGCTCTCAACCACTCGATTGTAGTGATTGTGTTGTATATGATTACGATAAAAGATAGCCCATCGCCCTGACGAGGACCAAATTGCAGAATTTCGTCGAGACCACATGATAATTTTTGTCATGTCATTTTCGACCATTAGGTACGAATATGCACAAAACGGTCGATGAGAAAAAGTCGCCTTGATATGGGATAAAGGCTCACGCAATCTTTAACATTTCGCTATGGGAGTTCTCAGCATTTTATGGGCTTTGAACTGAAACAGCCATCTTGAAGATTATTCGGTAAAATTCACAACCCTGCTCTTTTTAAGGCCTAAGCCCCTCTAGTTTCTGTCCTACACGCCCGCGAAGATATGCAGACCATTTAGGGGGGGGGGGACTGTTTCAAGGTCGCCCCGGTATCAAGACCAAGACTCATATCGATCGATCGATATCGATATCGATCAAGACCAAGGAAAACATAATTGCCAAGTCGTTCCTATCTGGCATCCGTAAGCACGACTTCCAAATATAACTACCGCCAATTTGCTCTCAATCAATGTTGTGCAAGGTACGATGACGTAATCAGACAATGACGTATCGAGGATCATATTCACTACATAGAGAAACGACGTCGTCTAGAGCAGCCTTTTCCACTTTAAAGTATATCAATACTTATAAGTGAGCTTGTTTCATCACATCTGATGCTTGTTCAATATCTTCAAATGTGGAACATTCCCTTTAAGGGGATGAACGCATTTCATCCTTTCATTCTGACGAGTCTCCGCGGGCACCAGCTCGCAGTAAGCCACCAATTGCAGACGATTCCATTACGGACAGCAGAGAGGACGTCGTGGTTGGCGCCCACGGAAAACGAGAGGATGGGAGGCGGGGGAGGGGCAACACCACGCTCACATGGCCGGCGAGGTTGAAGTAGGAGTGGTGGGTCATGCTGAGTGGCGTGCTGGAGGTGGAGAGCCCGCGGTAGCTCAGGCTCAGCGCCGGCGACGCGCTCATCATTGTCAGGCTGTACCTGCAACAGACCGGACCGGAGCGACGCGGTGTCAAGCTCCCGGCAAGAGCCACACTCCGTACCATCAGGCGAACCCTCGGACACCTCGGACGAACACATGCGCAGCTCCTTCGAGGCTGGCTGGGAAAATGCTACCTTTTACCGGGCTATAATACGAGGTAGGTGGAATTCAGTAAAGATTGAGCATGCGAGGCATAAACAACGCCTTTTGTGGAATGCAAAGCGCACGGTGTATCGCGTCGATCAGAAATAAAGATGCCTTTAAGGTGAGCCTTTCAGTGAATCACCTATCGCAGTCTGCCGTCCCGTCCGCCGGCCTGGCTGCACGCTGCAGCCAGCGTCCGCGCCGCCTGCGGCCGGGAGCACCACTCACGTGACCTGGACCAGCACGTCGCCCGGGTAGCCCTCCTCGCCGTGGCGAGACAGGTAGCTGAAGGTCACCCCACAGTCGCTGACCTCCGCTGTCCACACGCGCTGAAACGGGGTCGTCGTCCGTTCACCGCCCTCCCCACCGTGATCGGAATCTTGTCTCAGCCAAGGCGCGCCAGGCAGAAGATGGCGGCGGCGTGAGCACAGCGCCCGGACACCAGCGGCCTTAGGCCTCGCAGAGGGAGCACCGCAAGCAGAAGGTCGTCCTATCATTACGTGCATTTCGCCGTCTTAGATAAACAAAGGTAGTGAACCAGTTGAAACTGACAATAGTGTAATTTTCTGTATATATATATATATATATATATATATATATATATATATATATATATATATTACGCATGTTCGAGAAAAAAATGACGGCTCACTAAGCACTGACGAGCTTTTTCATGCATCGTTGTAGTTTCCGGGCATTTGACTTAGCATTATCGTTTAGATTAATGCTGAGTCAAAAGCCCGGACGAGCTGCCACCTTGTCGAAGCCGCGCAGGCCGCCGTGCAGGTGGCCATCAGGCAAGTTCCTGGGCAGCCGGTAGGTAGTGCCGTTGAGCGTGAAGGCGGAGTCGCCCACTCTGCTAGCCGTGCGGCCGATGGTGGCGCCCATGTACGCGTCCTGCTGCTCGTACTCTGCAGTCGGTCCGGCGTCCGGTGAGACACGGCGCGGCCACGACTCGTTCAGGAAGGCACAACCAGGCCAGCACGCGGGCATGCACCCTCCAATAGCTCGTGTCCATGCCAACACGCCAGCATGTCTCAATATGTAGACACTTCCGCTTTCATGCTGTAGAGATACTGCGTGATGGGCCAAAAATTACCGAGCACGTTTCTGACGCTTGTTTTTAAGGGTGTTAGGACAGCGCATTTTTCACTGCCAAACAATTTTGATTTCAACAAGCAACTTCTCGCGCCAACACTCCAGGACGATGCTCTCAGAACTGATCACTGCCGTGTGCACGCCCTCAGTAAGACCCTCAATACCCTTAAACGTTGCGTAATTATTAAAACTTATCGTGGAACTCCTCGCAAAAATTACACAGAATCAGGGCAGTATTACGTACGATTTCTGCAATAATAGCCACGACATCGCGAGCGTTCAGCTCCCTGCAGTCTGACCACGTAAAAAACGCCAGCATCAGCACTCCATAGCCTTATATGCACCGAATCGGCCTATCGCACCGCAATCTCAGAGCCGGTGAGGATGGAGCCCGGCGGCCGTACCAGAGAGCGTGTCGAAGCCCAGGACGACATCTTCCAGAGTGCCGTTGGAGTCTGGCACGAGCAGGGAGACGACGTTGGCGCCGAAACTGCTGAGGGTGGCCACCACAGCCGGCGACGACTGCCCGGCCAATGTACCTGACAGAATGACACGAAGGATATATCTTTGGTGCTATTGCCAGTCGTGCCGGCGTAACATAGACATAGTAACGGGGGGGGGGAGTAGGTATATATATATATATATATATATATATATATATATCTATATATCTATATATATTTCCCATGTCTTGGGTGGAATTAACAGTCGTGCTTGCGTACCGTGGGCATATGAACTGATGGGTAGTGGGTATGTGTGTATGTATGTACACACACACACACATATATATATATATATATATATATATATATATATATATATATATATATATATATATATATATTCCACATCTTGGGCGGAATCGCCAATCGTGCTAGCGTACCATATGAACTGAGGTTGGGGGGGGGGGGCATATCATTCTCACCGCTCGCAAGCGCTGAATATTAGCTATGCGTCGACGCATGGAAGTAATCGACTTCAAATTTGGTTTCGTCCCAGCCCTCACCTTTCAAACCATTCCTGCTTATGTTTGAGTTGCCTGAGCATGCAGTGCTGAGGGCTCAGTGGAAACCCAGATTCTTACTGGTAACTTATGAGGGATAGCTATTAGGTGATAGGGTAGAGCTATATGAAAGGTGTCACTTTCCAAAAGCGGTTGGAGGAGGACTTAGCCGAGGTGGTTGACCTCACCTACCCTAAAAACCTGATTTCTCCCCGGATTTTGGTCACTTGACCAAAATCCGGAGGGTTATACGTGCCGCCTCCGTGGTCTAGGGGAAGATGCTGGACTCGCAATTCAGCGGCACTGGGTACGAGTCCCAGAATGGGTGCACTGTCTGACCCGACTGAAATGGAAAGGCCAGCTGCAACTGGCCAACGAGGGTCAACCCAGACCCGAGGCGACCGTGTCGCAGCATTGTGCGGCACGTAAAACCCTCCGCATTTCTGTTTGGCGAAAGAGCGGAGGCAAAATTAGCTGTTGAACTGGACGGCACGCTTGGGTGGTGGGTTCAGGGCATACGCAACAAGCCATGCTTAGCAGGTACTCTGAATTCGAGGTCACCCATGCAAATAATGCGGAATAAATTTTTAAAAAACTTGAAGTTACGGCCTCGATGTTAAAATAAAAAACAACTGTTACATTTCGTTGATTTCAAATTGTTTCCTGAGGAGGAATGACTTCCCATTTTAGGTAAATGTGACATTGCCACCATTATTCGGAGTGTCTATGTAATTTACCTAATTGTCAACAAAATAACAATATCGAAATTTGCTGATCCTCGTTCCACACTAACTAAAATTGTAATCAATACGGTGGTATGTAATGCCATATTTCGGTCAAAGAAATCCGCTGTAAACCATTTCTGTGGTGCACAATCTATCACGGCGGGTATGGTCGTGCCTTTTGGGCAATGGGGCGACGAAGGCGCGCCGCAAACGTCGCAATGCAGTGCTTCCGTGCGGTACATTCGAATCGGGACATTCGAGAGACAACGATGATCAGCAAGATTTCGCATGCTTTGTGAGGTGTCAGTGCGCACTCGGATGGCGTATTACATACAAGCTGTTGCTGATGCTAACCCCTCGTTTCGGTTGGGTTCGTGGCACAAAGCCCAGACGATACTCACCTATTGCCCGGTTCGTGGCACGGTAGACCGGCCATAGCATCGGCGGGACCACGGGTAGCAGGAACAGGCTTCACCAGTGAAAGTAGCTTCGATCTGTATTCTGCCTGGCGCCCAGGGGCTTCAAGGCCGACCGATATCTCCGACAGCTCTAACGGCCGCTACATGTGCCGATGGCGAGGTGGCATGAGGGGGTGGGGGAGCGATGCCTCGGCGGTGCGGCGAGGCTAGCAGCCGCCGGCCCGGCTGGAGACGAACAAAAACCGGGCCGGCTGCAGACGAGCAAACGCCGATAGTGGCCTGCTTCTGTCACTTAGTGTATCAAAACTCGACAATTTTGGGTGGAGAATAGCACCATTTCCGTACAATGATGATCCCTCAGTTTTGAATTCATCAAAGAATAGGCTGAATTTTGCATTTACTTTTTCGGGTCTTTGACGAGGACATTACAGTCTCTTTGGAAGTATCGCTGGGGCGATTCCGTCGCAGAGCATCACAGTTAACATCACTGTCCTCCAAGGGGGTCATGCCCTCTATTTTTCAAGCTGGGGGACGGTAATGTTAACGCCCTTCCCCACTTCTTCAGATCCCACTTGTGTTCAGCTTACGTTTGCGTTATCTTAAGCATGCAAAAAAGGATTTTACATCATGCATGTGTTTAATGTTGCTTTCGGAAAATTACCTCTATCACGCCATCTTGTTGAACATTTTTGACGTTAGGTGAAATGGCACGAGTTTGCGGGAGTTTTTTCGTACGTAACATTGCTACGCTATTCGCCTGACCGTGAAATTTTTAGGCATATTATGGGACGTCAAGAGACCATTGAGCATTTCAAAAAGGGGCTTGACTTAACCGAACATAGATTAAGCGGTATTAACTGAGCCAGTGTTCTTCATTGCGCTTCCGCGTTATCGGACACAGTGAACTACGCTTACTCCCCATCTGTTACCCATGATGCACTCAACCGTTTTACCTGCACGAGTTATTTTGACAAAACCTTCAGCAGGGGGCCGGCACGTACGAGTTTGTGCCGGTAACACCTACTGCTAGCAGCAACAATCAGAAAGCCATGAGTTTGTTGGAGGCATTCCTGAACGGTTCTGGTTTGTTCTGTTCCTGTTCATGGGCAAACATTGCAGTAGCACCATGCACCATACGTGTCACCCAGTGCGTGCAATGCGTTTGTCTAGATGTCTCGATTCGTGCACTGTGTCACCAGGTAGGCTGTGACAAATGGTCAAATTCGTAAGTCCCACACTAGCAAAGTTTCCAAGAAGAAAGTCGTCGCCTTCCATCATTAATTGCTGCTTGCGTTGAGACACGAAATGCATGTCAGTGTTTTCTTTCAAAAATGCCATAGCATTTCCTTTTTTGTTAAGTCAAACAGGCCTGCAGGAATAATTGATTAAGACTACCACCTTCAGGCGTCTCGATAACAAATTTTGCCTGCAACAGTCCGGGGGACCTTTCACGCGCCATCAAATGCATTTACACGGTCATGTCGTACAATCATGCAGACCCTCTCGCCTCCAACTAACTGACATTCACCAAGTCAAACAATGAGCTGCCTCACGAACCCAACCCAAATGCCTATCGCATGCTGTTGGGGTAGTCTGAGCCACTCAGACACCCTTGCGGGAACCGGCATAAATATGAATATGTGGGCAATATATACCCTAAGACTTACCACTGAATAGCCAGCTTGCAACGACTGAGAACCACGGGCGGTGCAGTAGGTTTTGAGCGGGGGGGGGGGGGGGAGGGGAGGCAGGACTTTTTAGGGCGTCTCCTGAACAAAATGGGGCCACCTCACTGGAGGTTCTCCCGTGCAGTGTCATATTCAAAGGGGAAGGAGCACCCAGGGCATGTGCCCTTTATAAAACTATTACATGCATCCTATCCAAGTAAAAAGATGTCGACAGTTAAAAATTCCAGAATATGGCCTTACAATTATCCAGAAAAGGGTCCCACTGTCTCAAAACAGGACCCATCTCCTTTCTCACAAAAGGGTCTCCCGATGAAAAAAGGCCTCAATCCAGAGCATGACGCATACGATTCACCAAGGAGGACTCTAAATCTAGCCAAGGGACCTCGCTGTTCCAAAACAGGGCATCCCGATCCGGAACCGCGGCCACCGGATGCATGAAGGGGGCCTCCCATTCCAGCCATGGACCTCCTGATTATGGAGGGTGTCTTGTAGACCACAGCAAGGGGGGGGGGGGGGGGCTGTGAGCTTGGTTATGGGAGCCTCCCGAGCCAGCAGAGGGACCTCCTTATCACGACGTCGTGCCTCCCGATCTAGAGCATTGGCTACCTGACCCATAAACAGGGGAGGGGGGGGGGGGGTGAGTTGGTAATGGGGGAGAGGCTACTCCCGACCAGCAGAGTGGACCTCCTTATCACGACGTCGTGCCTCCCGATCTAGAGCATTGGCTACCTGACCCATAAAAAGGGGGGTGGGGGGGGGGGGCTGTGAGCTGGTAATCCTCCCGAGCCGGCAGAGGGACCTCCTTATCACGACGTCGTGCCTCCCGATCTAGAGCATTGGCTACCTGACCCATAAAAAGGGGTGAAGGCGGGTGGGGAGGCTGTGAGCTGGTAATGGGAGCCTCCCGAGCCAGCAGAGGGGCCTCCTTATCACGACGTCACGCCTCCCGATCTAGAGCATTGGCTACCTGACCCATAAAGGTGACCTCAGGGTCCAGAAAACGGGCGGCCGCGCTAATGTGCTCGGCCAGGTCCGGTTCGGTGCCCCGACTGAGGACCTTAGCTTCTTACGCTGCCTTAGCGGGCGCCTCAGCTTGTTGCGCTGTTATAGCCGACCGGTCCTCGAAAGGATTTCAGCCAGGCAGGAGAGAGCTTCGGTTAAACCATCCTAGATTAAGTCGGTCTCTAACCAGTTTGTCATGACGAATAATCTGCCGCACCGGGGCCTTATCTAAATGCCAACTGGGGCCTTCAAGCTCGGTGGATTCTATTGGGGCAATTCATCAGAAGGCGGCAGCTGTGATGCACAGAATAAACTGGTGACACTTGGGTGTAATTTTGAGTCTGTCTTGACGCATTCCTTCCATATTGACCTCAATTTTGCTCTCCATCTCGCTCGTGAAACGTCTTTCTTATGGATCGGTAAGCGATTAGATGCGATCGCCAAGGTCCCTTACCGCGTTTGCTCTCGTTTGAGTGTGTATCGATTATGACAGTTAAAACTTACTCAGCTGAATGGGACTGCTCGACAATTGTATGGGGTTTTGAACTGAGATAGTCATTTTCGAAACCGTTTCTGCAGTTCATAGTTATACCATTTTCAGACTTCAAGCCTGACTTGCTTCTGAGCTTGAAGCGTGCAAACTTGAGCAGATTATTTCGTGCAGCCTATCTAAAGGTCACCCGGATAAGCATGAAGTCCACCATTTAAGATGGTGGTACGTCACACGAGTACCACCATCTTAATGGCCGTGTAGCCACGTAAGGTAACCCGCTCACCGTACGGACGCTTTTCAATATATCTGTTGGAATTCTGAGATAGGCACCAAATGCGTTAATGCTTGAGTGAAGTTAGATACTAATCACATAAAAGCATCCTGGGATATCTTGGAAAGTGTAACAAGCATAGCGGCAGGATCAGCTCTCCTCAGAGATCTCACTAAACAAGGCCAAACATCCATCAAAATAACATTTTCTTCGACGGAAGACTATTAATGTGCGCAGCAGTCCGCTTTACATGCAAAGTCTGCGTCCAAACCTATTCGTGCAGACCATTCAGAGTATCTTGTTGGTTAAACATGCAACAGTTGTCTGGCGCAAGCTACTGGGTCTATTACGCTAGCTTACACACAAAGCACGGCTACGGAAAACAAGCACTGGCGACTCACCTGTCATTATGAATTTGTCCACCTTGGTCTGGAGGCCATTCTCCGTGATCACGCCAAATGGCGACCGGGTGATTTCTACTTTCATTTGGGGCAGTGTTTGAACCTGCAAAAGATAGAAGACGAGGTGCGTGTTAGACACTTTTGTGCGCGCTGTTGGGTTTCGGGTTTGAAACCTACTGCTAAGGGATGCGTAATATACCTATCATTACCACACCACCCCTCACTGAGTGGACCATAATGCGCGGTACTAACCATTTAAATTAAAACGGCGGCCTGAAATGTCGGTTCTTTGGGTATATCATACGAGACACATGCTCAAAAGCCACGAAGCAGTATTTTACCGCCTATAAAAGCGAGCGTATTTTTCGCATTTACAATGCTAGAACAGGAAATATTGCCATGGTATTGCGATGCATTATTATATACGATGGTAACTGCGAAGAGCTTACCTGATCATGTGCGATGGTAACTGCGAAGAGCTTACTTTAGTATATACGATGGCAGCCGCGAAGAGCTTACCTCTCGGCAGGCAAAACCAAAGTAAATGTGCCTTCGACCCGGTCGGGGGTTTGCGGTCCAGGAATGTGTAAACATGTTTTGGGTTTATTCTTAGAAGGCTGTTAAGGGAAGCGTGCTATATTTAGACACAGTCCGTACCTGCTGTCGAAGGGATAGGTGGGTGGGTGGGTGGGTAGACTGGCAGTTTATGACTGTTAAGAGACTGGCAGCCCATGATGGGTAGGTTCTGCTACCACGATATCAAACGGCCCATAGATAAAAATGATAGGTAATAATGTGAGCATAAACCCGACAAGTGACAGCTAACTTACCACTGATAAACCGACAGCTTCACGGATGCACAGGTATGATCCTTTAAAAAAGCGCAGGTCGGTGATAAACTGATTTTACAAGCGCAGGTCGGTGATGATCTGATTTCACAAGCGTCATAAGCGTCACTCTTCACAAGCGCTCGGCTCTTACGCGTGTTCTACCTATTTGAACTCATGGAGGCGTGCCCAGAAGGACGAGATCCATGGGGCTGGGGTTTCCTTCCTTTTGCCTGCGAGACGCCTAATATCCATCCTCTGACACTTTAACACTTTTAACACTAACACACACACATATCCATCCTTTAACGCTCAAGTGATAACACTTGAGTTATAAAAAGTTCAAGTTTAGGTTCATCTTATTGAGGAATCACTCCAAGTAGTAACTTATTGTTTGATTCGGAACAAGTGCAATATTGCAACGTAATAACGCGACCACATTTGTACATTTCAATCATTTCTTCCTTCACACGCTTAGTAAAAAACACACTAATTAATCTTCACAACATATCACACAACGGCAAACACATCGTCCGTTCTGAAAAAAAAACGTTCCTTGCGACAGGCGACAATCATCACCTCTCACTGATTGTCGGGGACAGGTGACTTAAGGATGAGGCCTCCATATATGGAAAGGCCTTGTATGCCACCGACAGGCAGAGGGCTGACGGATCAAGGGCGCCCACCGCTGCCGCCCGGGTAGCACACTGGCGTGCAGCGGTACGTGGGGAGTGACCACGGGCCGGATCGCCACCGGATCGCCACCGGAGTCCACGAGTCATTAAGGGCCCTGAACAAAGCGAAGCTCTCACGGTCGGCTGCCAAATTCACTAAAACCGCGCCAGACCAGCGCCTGGACAGTTGTCGCCATGGAATCTCGCAGATGAGCCTCGGTGACGATCCTGGCCCCTAAGTGTATCGCCCCATCCGCTCTGTTAGGTGACACGCTGCAGCCCCACCCCAGACCGAGAGGAAGTACAGAATATGGGGGAAGACGTGGGGCTGGTTGACAAGTTTACGAACTTCAGGCGTAAGGTGTTGATGAATTTCACAGAAGCAGAGGATACAGTTACACCTTTTGACAACATGAGATATATGAATCACGCAGAGAAGTGTACTGTCAATAGTGATTCCCAGCATCTTTACGGTCGGCGGAGGGCTTACTTTGTGTCCAGCAATGGCAAGGTGAAAGGATAAATGTTTCTTCAGGGATTGAAGAGTGTCGAGAAGAAGAATGCTTGGTTTGGTGTAATCCACTTTGGGGGAATAACATGTGAAATAGGACTGGATCACTTGGATTGCTTTTCTCCTGTCGGGGTTCGTACAGCGGATAGGTTTCATAACATTCCCACGGAGTTATTTTTTTTTGCTGTTGATAATTACAAAACCAGTGTGAATGCAGCTAATTGCCCACCAAGCTCGTCCACCTAATTGCTCACCTAAGTTCACCGCTCTGCAAGTTGAAGGTACTACAAGTGAGTCAGACCGCCCGCTACAGTGGCATATTTATTCTGAAACGGCCGATCCCGAGCGATTACGTCATGGGCACTCCATGACGCAATCAAACGATGACGCATGGAGGAACATGCTTACTATATAGTTAAATTATCTTGTTTACAGCAGTCTTTTACATTTAGGAGCAAACCAGTGTTTCCAAGTCAGCCTATTTCAACAAATCTGATGCTTGCCTCAATGCCTTCAAGTGTGGAATATATCCCTAAACACGCGCTCAGGTGGAGTCAAATTGACCCCTGAGAGTTTTTCCGGAATGGTTACCGAACCGTGCAGCGTGGCCGCGCCAAATTTTGCGTAGATATAGACAATTGAAAAGCAAATCGTGTGGTATCAGAAAATTGGATGCATCTTATAAAGTCGCTGACCTACAGCACGTCAAAGTTGTGCCACGGATTCCGCGAAGTCGATTTCAAGGGAATCGCCCAATCTGATGGAACAGCGGAGTGTTAGACGGAGCCATAAGCCTCTGAGATATTTTCTCAGGCAACACAACAATTGAATGACTGAATTTGATTGACCTAGGGTCAGATATGAAGGTTATACCAAGGTCAAGACCAACCTGTTTTATTACTCTATGGCTTGCTGTGTAGGGGTAACTTCTGGTGCTCATTTCGAATTCATTGATGACAGGAACCGCATTAGACGTCTTCCACGGACTTCGTATAGGTCAGAATGGGTCACTGACCTAAAATCACCTAGGTCAGCATTTCTTTTTTGGGAACATACTGCCTAGCTTAATCTTTTTCGCTTATTCAAATGCAAAATTCAAAGCAGTCCTCTATGATTTTAGTCACCACGACCTTCGAAAAATCAAACAAGGTCACTGACCTTTAATGAGCATGTGACTTTTTCTTGGAACAGGTATCTAGGTTCTGAGGACACTTTGAAGACCAACTTGGAGTTTGACCCTGTTTGACCTTACTTGACCCAAAGACCATGATCTATGGGCTCAAAATTTGACCGAAATACGTTAACGTACAGGCCAACACACCCTGTGAATTCGATGTTTCTAGCCCTTTTAGCTCCTGAGATTTCAGGGGGTCAAATTGACCCCAACCCGGGCGGAAGGGTATTCAACCGGCCACCCGGGCGCGTGTTGAAGGGAGTGTTCCACATTTGTATGGGATTTTAAACTAAAATAGCTATCCTGAAGACCATTCAGTGCAGTTTACAACCATGCCCTTCCTAAGGCCTAAACCCCTCTAGTTTCTGGGCTACGCACCCGTTAACACGCGCCGGGGTGGCCGGATGGATACCCTTCGCTCGAGTGGGAGGTCAGTTTGACCCAGCCCTAATATCTCATGAACTAAGAGGGCTAGATATACCAAATTCACAGGTGTATTGGCCTGTACGTGAACCCACTTAGGTCAAAGTGTGAGCCTCCTAGGTCATGACCTTTGGGTCAAAAAAGCTTGATTGTCGTGAAGACTCGCCTTTGATCTGGCCTAATGATGACAGTTATTGACCTAGCAACATAAAACTTATCACTAACCGCGATATTTCGTTGAGACCAATCCACCGCTGCTTTTCACGCGGCCCTGTCACTCTTAATTTGGAAATGGCAAGGGTGAGGGGCGCACCGACCCGTTTCACTCCGTGTTATAAAAAAGGGCAGATGAGGGCAAGGGCTCAATTTTTGGCTCTGTTTTAACAGTTAATATCAACACATCATCCTGTGTGTATGCGGCAAACCTCCATTATACCCAGCCTTGCCAGGCGTGGTAGCATTGCCTTAGCTTGTGGACCACTAAGGCGGACTGATCCGAGATGACCGCCTCCAGTGCACAAGGTCCGGTGAGGCACGCCCGGCCGGTGCTGCCACCTCTCTACTTCCAACCAGTGCTACGAGTAGAGACAAGTTTAGCTAGCTTAATCTTTGTCGCTTTTTCAACTGCAAAACTCAAAGCAGTCCTCTGTGAATTTAGGCACCACAACCTTAGAAAAATCAAACAAGGTCACCGACCTTAAAGAGCATGTGACTTTTTTCTTGGAACAGCCATCTAGGTTCTGAGAGCACTTTGAAGACCAGCTTGGAGTTTGATCTTGTTTGACCTTACATGACCCAAAAGTCATGACCTATGGGCTCAAAATTTGACCTAAATGAGTTAACGTACAGGCCAACACACCCTGTCAATTGAATGTCTCTAGTCCTCTTAGCTCCTGAGATCTCAGCGGGTCAAATTGACGCCCACCCGGACGAAGGGTATTCAACCGACCACCTGGGCGCGTGTTAATGGGAGTGTTCGGTATTTGTATGGGATTTTAAACTAGAAAAGCTATTCTGAAGATCATTCAGTGCAGTTCACAACCATGGCCTTCTTAAGGCCCAAGCCCCTCTAATTTCTGGGCTACACGGCCGTAAACACGCGCCGGGGTGGCCGGTTGGATACCCTTCGTTCGGGTGGGTTGGTCAATTTGACCCCACCCTGAGATCTTAGGAACTAAGGGGGCTAAAGACACCAAATTCACAGGGTATATTGGCCCGTACGTGAACTCACTTAGGTCAAAGTTTGAGCCTCCTAGGTCATGACCTCTGGGTAAAAAAACTTGATTATCGTGAATTCATCTTTGATCTGGCCTAATGATAATTATTGACCTAGCAACATAATACTTATCACTAACCGCGGTATTTCGTTGAGACTCATCCACCGCTGCTTTTCACGCGGCTCCGTCACTCTTAAGTTGGAAATGGCAGGGGTGGGGCGCGCGCCGACCCTTATCACTCCGTGTTACAAAAGAAGGGCAGATGAGGGGCAAGGGT